GGGTTGGTTAGTGACGGTTAGTGGTTGGTTTTGGCGAAGGGTCCTTTGTATCTTCTATAAAGGTTCGAAGCGGATTCCTTTGAAGAGTCCCACAGTTGCTCGATAATCTTACAGGGACTCTACACAGGCTCCTTTGCAGGGCTGACGTTCTATGAGCCCTCTAAGATTTGTCTACAAGTTTTGTAGTCCTATGGAGATCTTATAAATTACAAGGGCTTAGGGTTTAGGGTGTAGATCTTATAAGTGTGCTTCCTTTCAAGGAGCTCCATGCAAGTTACTGCAAGTTTAGGGTTCAAGGGTTTGGTGAGGGGGCTTTGTACCAGTCGCTTAAGGCCTTCCGAGGGCTTAGGGACAAGTCCCTAAACCCTTTAGGCTTTAGGGTTTAGGGTTTATGGCTTGTGCAGGGTGTTCAGGAACCTGGTTGGGATTGCCACAACAGGGAAAGGATATACTTTCTGTCAGCTCGTAAAAGCGGACCTGACACAGAAGATTTCTGAACCTCACCCCCAAAACCCTGAATTTAAACCTGAAGCCCTAAACCCTCGACGCTCAGCCTGGAACCTATGATTCCTTCTCTTCAAAACAAAGCCTCCTTCTCTTGGGAAAAACCTTCAAAGCAAAAGTGCAAAACCATGCGCCCATAAGCTTAATATCCAATACATATATATATATATATATATTCACATAATTATATACACACAAATAAAGCATAAATTTTCGTACATATCTATATATATATATAATACTTATATACATATATCTTTATGCACATGGAGCCTTAGGGTTTGGAGCGTCTCGGCTATCGGCGGGAATCCAGGCTCGGGTGTGGCACCGTAGAGTTGAGTTAGGGCTTAGGGTTTAGATGGGTTTAGGGTTTAGGGAGGGCCTAAACCCTAAAACCCTAAACCCTAAACCGGTTTAGTTGTTTTTTTGAGGGCCTTTTCTTTTCTGGACAGGAGAGCTTAGGTTTTAGGGTCTAGGGTTTTTTCGCAGCAGGCTTTAGGGTTTGGGGTTCAGGGTCTGGGGCTTTTTGGTAGTGGGCCCCAGGGCTCAGAGTTTAGAGTCTAGGGCTTTTTTTGGTAGGCCCTAGGGCCTCAGAGTTCAGAGTCTAGGGCTTTTTGTAATGGGCCCTAGAGTTTAGAGTCTAGGATTTGTTGGTAGTAGGCCCTAGGGCTTGGGGTTTAGAGTCGAGGGCCTAGGGTTTTTTGTGATAAGCCCTAGGGCTTACAGGGTTTAGAGTTTGGAGCCCAGGGTCTAGGGCTTCGAAGGTTAATTACATGGAATCGGACGTGAGGGCATGTGAGTTCATGATTTCTAGAATGGCTTTTAGGGTTTATAAACCCCAGAAGCCCCTTGCCCTCTTGACAGTAGGCGTCGAGTTTGGAGGAGTTATAAAACTATGGCTCCGAAGAGTTGCCAAAAGTCTCCACGGCACTATTTTTGGCTTACCTTATGAGACCCGACTTTTTCTAACCACCAAAACAGGAACTACTTTGGGGTTGCCTGACAAGACCCCTTAAGATCCCAGGTCGAAATTTGCTTTACTCTAAACCCTAAACCCTAAACCCCTAAACCCCTAAACCCCTAAACCCTAAACCCCCTAAACCCTAAACCAACCTTTCAAAAAAGAACTACACGCAGAATGACAGAGAATCCGGGCGCCGGCCTCTTCGATGTCGGAGGGATCGAGCCAAGACTCCTTCAAGAAGGTAAAGGGTTTAGGGATTAGGGTTTCGGGGTGAGTGTAAGTTTAGGGTGTAAGTGTTAGGGTTATGGTTTAGGCTGTATTTATGGCTTGGGGTGTGTAGAATTTGGGCCAATGGGGGGTGAAAGAAGACCTCTATCATTGGTCCGTGCAGGTTCGGGTGTTCAAGCCTTGTTTTTGTTTGGGCTTTAAGTTTGCCTAGGGTTTAGCAGGATTTGATGACGGCTTTCTCCAGTTTTGCTAGAGGCTCTTGGGGTTGGCGAGGGTTTGGGGTTTAGGGGTTAAGGATTAGGATCTCGACTGCCTCAAGCGCGGTTGCAACGGCCCTGGACAGGTCTTGCGCCAACTCTCTCGCATAATCTGAGCTTAAGTTCTGGCCTTACTGCCTAACTCATACTAATGACTAATGAAAATCTGGTTCCTGGCAGGGCAAGGAACTAGTATTATCAACTATCGAGGCTTCTTTATTTACAGTAATATAGTAGAACAGAAGCCTGAATAATGTGGGTTCCTTTACGGAATGGGGCCTGACGACGATTACACGAAGGCTTGAGGGAGCTTCTGCAATCAGATAACTATATCAGGGATATCTAGGGACGGGATGACGACATTAGGGTTTAGGGAAACTCTAAACCTCTAATCTCGAAAACCCGAGAGGTAACGTCTGGCCACCCCCGCCATGCAAGCTCTCCACAAGCTGGCGGTCCCGGCAGGAAGAGCACGAGCCGGGGGCGTTCCACCTGCATCAGCTGTTTAACTTAACTTAGCCACAAATCCGTCAGTTCTAACTGATGAAAAAGTTGATGAAGTAGTTGAGTAGTTCGTTAAATATTTCGTCAAGTAGACAATCATTCGTTCAATGAGCCCTTTATTTGGTTGCTTCATTAAACTGACTATTTGAGTGCCTATGTGTATATGTATGTATATATATATATATGTATGTATGATTATATATATATATATAGATATCATGTTCGTATGTATGTGTACATCGCTTTGTTTGAATCGGCACAGGGACTGGCGGCTCCTCTGCATGCAACAAGCACAACACCAGCAGACGAGTGAGTCATCGCACGGTGATGCGAGAACTGACCGTTTGGTTGAATCACAGGCAGACACATTGCACCCGCGCTGCCGCATGACACTCTCAAGAAAATTGCCCTATGTGGGACGTAGCAGGACTCTACACTCATGAACCCCTAAAGCCTGAACTCTTAACCCTCAGGAACCCCAAAGTGCAAAAACACAGCATCCACTCTGAGTATTACGTGAGCCCTTTCCGAAAGCGACGGCCCTCGCCCACCAAGCCGACACTTAACTTTTGCGCAATAAGCCCGAGACCATCGTAGCAACTCCCACGAGGAGTTTGCAATGGAGGCCAAGTACCTCTCCGATTCTGGGTTTGGGTACCCGAAAATCCTATTCTAACTATTCAGGCCCCTAAACCCTATAGTAGCCCTTATGGAACCCTTTAAGGAACCCTGGAAAGCTGTAAAAGAACCCCCAAAACCTTTTTCTAATTATTTTAGCCCAGACATTAAGTTTTCAGGTTGCTGTGGTTGGGAAGGCTAGGGCACTTTTTTGGGGAGCGGATTCTGAAGCCCTATAAAACTTACTTCTTTTTGGGTTCTATATGGTTTTAACTAGGGATTATAGTCCACAAAACTTAAGAATTATCTCCACGAGCACCCCAGTTTTGAAGGGTTAGGGGCTTTGGCTGGAGGGTATACCGGTTCGGGAGCAAGAATTCAAAGCTCAGGGAAAGGGGCTCTTCGGGGCCTGTCGGGCTCCGTTGCACTTCACTAAACCCTAAACCCTAAACCCTAAACCCTAAACCTAAAAAAAAAAACATCACACAACTACCCGATGAGAGCCCGAGAGCGCAAGCACATGCAAGCGCGGAGCCTGAGAGTTGTGACCTGCCATTCCTTGTTGCTACAGCTTCGAAAACATGGGTCTCAATGAAGGCAGCCGAGACAAACCCTGGCTCCAGCAAGTTCAGCTGATTTGGCATTTTGCGCGCAAGCGCGTGCTTTCATGAGGAGTTGGGTGAAGGCCATCCTATATCCCTAACATGCATCAACTGCGCGGGTCTAGGACTCCAGGATGTATACGCCCACAAGAATCCGAAAAATCTACGGCTGAGGGTTGGGGATTACGGCTTGATATGTAAACTGGGCCGCCGCCGTTTCAAGTTTTCAACTTCCAGCCGCGTACGGACTTACGATGATCTGAAGATATCTGGGAGTTTCTGACACTGCGGAACCTTTCCTATAGGTGTCCTTGTCGCAAGGATCCTACCGTTCAGGGTCGATATTCCTTTCTCAGGGTTCCATCTGGTAAAGATCCTGCCATTTAGCGTTCATCTTTCATGTTGTCGTAGGAAGTCGTATTAAAGAACCCTACTCTTAACAGTCGATATTTTCTTGGTTACGGGTCATTGTGATGGATCACTACCGTGAGATACTGGTCTGTTTGTCTTTTTTGCCTGGGGGTCCTCAGTAAAAGGATCCTTACCATCTATGACAGAATCTGGGATCTATGTTACATGAACCTTCGTGCATGAAACTCCTCTCTCGCGGAGGGTCTACAGTTCACTGTGCACTCCACTTTTTCTCCCAAGGGCTGGACTTCGACTCAACGAACAAGGAAGTGAGCTTTCTCAAAATCACAAGGAATAGCCTGTCGGCCACCCAGAAAAAGTTCATGTCCACAGCAAGATCGATAAGTTATGATTTGGTATGATCAATAGTGCTTCTGCATTGAGGCTGCGCATCTCGTGACTATGGGTAGCCGACCGGGATGAGCCATGCGTCTCTCTGTTGGTAAGGCCTCAGCCAACCGCGCACATCACAAAAGTGTCATTGTGCAGGTACAGCCGAATGCCTGACATGGACTAAGCATGACACAAGCAGAAATCAGCACTTCACCCTGGAATGTCGCTGGCAATGCCGCTGTGGCCTTTCCACATGCAACTAACTCTCCTTCTAAGCCCTAAACCCCAGAACCCACGAATGCCCACGAACCACGACGCCAAGAAGCCATTGGTGCTCCGCTTAGTCCTCCTCCGTCTTGAAGGACTTGTCCATTCGCTTGTAATCCTGTGACGGTCGGACTCCGTACAGGTTGTCAGGTCTTGCGGGATACTACTGATTCCGAGCGGCAATTATTAATGTCGTTCGCTCTACTGCTACTAGTCTTGGAATTCGTAGAGGTAGTATTGCTCGCCTTAGTAGTCGTAGAAGTAGAAGTGCTAGACGTGAGGGTTTGCGTTTCGGTCTTTCAATTAGGGATTTAAGAGGCTTCGGATGATCGAGGGCATCAGGGCAATCGCCGGGACTCCAAGAGGGAAAGGCTTTCCAGCTGTTATGGGTATAGGTCTTTATTTCAAACACAGCACACCGTGAAAAGGGCGAAACGTTCTTGGCACACTGTGAACAGATGGGAGATGAATTTCAGCGGAGTGTTTCTGATAAATATGCAAAAATGCACGTGGACATTCGAACTTCGGTGTTCGCTCGGCTTTTTACATCAAGTCCACACAACGTGAGCCATGCGCCTCGTAGTGGAGGTGAGGGTGGCCGGGCTTGTCGAGGTAGTACTCCGGATAGTCAGGGTCGTGGGTGTTCGACATCCACATGAAGTACGGATGCCATCTGGGAGCAAGGTCTACGAGTCGGGTTAGGAGCAGTAGGGTTTAGGGTCTAGGTTAGGGCGTAGGGTTGCATTTTGGATCTTCTGAGAAAGGACTAGGTTGACTGGGTAGCTACTAAGGCGTATCGTGATTGCATCCTGGAAGCACCTCGAACATGCTACTGTGTACCATTCGCAGTAGCACTGTGCACCAGTACTTGTAACAAGAGATTCGGCAATAGTTCTGGCAATAATGCTATAGTGATGCAGCACTACAAGTATTAAGAGAATCATCTAGTACACCATAACCCAAAAACAGTATTCATGCCTATTCTAGCTACTCAGGCCGCTGTATGTAAATACAGGCTACCGATACTAGCTCTAAACCTCTAAGCCTCTAAAAACCTTCACGATCCCTTCAAACCTACCAGGGAAGAGACCCAAAGTACCATTCATAATATAACTGTTTCAGACCGGGGCTAAAAGTTCACGGGTTTGGGGTTTAGGCGGGTTGAGGCTCAAGGTCAAGGACTCGGGTGTTGACTGAGCTTGCGCACGCAGATCGTCGCGCCAACAAAGCTCCTGCCCTAAATGCGAAAGTTCACCGACATGCAGTCAACCAAGTTTGATTAATCAGGCACTGACCCGAAACGGCCTCAGCCTACTGAAGGCTGCCGTATAAACCCTAAACCCTAAGCCCTAAGAGTTCGGCGCTGACTGCCGACAAGGCGCGGAACGTTGTACTGAGCCTCGGGTGAGCCGAGCGCGAGCAATCACGCGAGCGCGCGGATCGTAGGAAGAGACTCGCACCCGAAACGATAATAAGGATTAGGCTCTAAGGGCCTTGATGGCGGCTAGGGGATACATTTTTATATATTGCTACTATTTGCGATAGAAATAAGGACTAGTGATTACCCTGTCCCTCCTCCTCAACATCTTGACCTCCAGACTCTAGCATCATCTCAGAGAACAGCTCCAAAACCCGTAAACCCCAAACTTCTCGCGCCGGCTATGACACAGCCCTTCCCAGCAGCTCTAGCAGACGATTTGCCGAGACTCCCAGCCTAAGAGAGGCTGTAGCTAGGTAGATATACACACATACAGAGAAGGGACGGTTCATATGTAAATATAGAAATCCAAACAAACAAACAACAATAAGCATCTGTATGTATATACTTACATACGTAGTATATTATATTGTATATATAACAGACATATAATACCGAGGCTTATAGAGGACCTCAACATCTGCATAATGAGGCAAGACGCAATCCAGGTCCCACCACGCTCGGTGCGGCGACGATCCAAGTAGCGGGTCACAGGATTGGCGTTCTCCTTCCAGGTGAATTTTCTGCAGAAGTAAAGACATGCATAGCTTATCTAGACCGAGCTGACAGTGTTGACTCTGCGTTCATACCCTCTCGGTTTCTCGCGTTCTTCCTCCACAGGGCATGGGGGACTGTTGAGGAGATCGTGAAAACTCAGCACAGGCTTGCATCAATATCTTTGCAGTCTGGCCGAAATACTTGTCTGTTCCATACTTGGAAATTCCGCAAGATTGCTGCCTCGCTGTCACTCTGCATGAAAGAAGGCATAATTCCGATTGCAAGGTATGAGATGCAAGAGCAAAGTGTAGAGGGCTTCTTGGCTGTGCACGTGGCAATTACGCCCCCAGGTCCTGGCGTTCACGCTCCCGGTTCGCCTGCATCCACTCGATGGTAAAGCGCTTTGGCCTCCCAGCCAAATGATTTACGCAAGGCCCGCCTGTGGTCAAATGCCGAGCAGGTAGGTGGTTTGGTGGATGGGTAGGTAGGCGGGCAAGATTACAAGAAGTTAGCAGCTAGTATGTAGCATGCAGTAGGTAGGTACTAGTAGGTAGCAGCAGCAGCCGTAGCCATAGCCGT